GCTTAGCATGCAAGGGAACCTTAGAAGAAATAAAAATTTCTGAACAACCACAACTGGTTTTGACTCTATAACAACACTGAGTTCCATTTCCAGTAAGAAATATCTTAGGCAAACTAAAAATATTCTAGCCCTCCATACTATATTCAGAAATATAACTACCCATCCAACACAGTATGTTACAGATTTAAGAAACTGCCTCCTTTTATTATACTACAACTATTGCCACAAAGGATGGACATCAATATATAAGCATTTAATTCAAGAAGCAACTGAGAAAAAACAGTTTCTTGAAGATGAAAAGCAAAGTTTGCCAAATTCCCATGTTTCTACAAAATTTCTGAGGCTAGTTACAGTTTTTATTTAAACAGCTATTGATCACTTTTACAATCCAGCGATAGTGGTTTTATATCATGATAGACTTACAATACCCTGACAAAAACAATTTGTCCCTAAGAACTAAATGTATATATATTTTAGCTGTAGATATTACATATATTTTAAAATAGACATACCACCTCTTAATCTCATGATTTAATATTCATTGACTTGGTGTGGAAACACTTTTGTCAGTAAAGACTTTGACCTTTTTTTACAGTACTATTAACAACAAAAGTTAATATCTTCATCCACTCTTACAAGTAAGCATGCAACTTAAAAAAGTTGTAAAAGTTATACCTGTATAACATTATTATATTTTGTTCCTTGTTTGGATGGTAGATCCCTTCACGTATGGAGTTTACTTGACTGTACAGTTTCTTAACAGTCAGAGATAAGGTTTCCATAGTCAGTAGTAGAAAACCTAATTTAGATACCATCAGTCTGGTCAGTAAGAAAACTTTTCAAAGACTCATTTCCTCTGTTTTCTTTTAGAGGCTAGACCCAGAAAAAGAATTTGGCATCTAAGGAAGGGACTAGACAAACTTTAGATGCTAAAATCCAAAACAGATCTAAAAAAAAGATCCACTCAGCAGCTGACTATGGCTTGAGACACACCTGTGTTTAAGATGAAACTTCTTCCTATGTCTACAGCTTTGGTCCTGCACTTCTGCATGAGTTTGTCCCAACCTCAATACCTAGATTCCAATGTAACCCTAAATGGGTAGAAAAACCCCAGACATAACTCCGATATAGCATCAAGATTGCATCCTTCACAAAATGCATTATATATGTATATATGTGTATACATGTGTGTGTATATATATATATATATATGTGTGTGTATATATATATATATATATATATATATATATATATGAAACATTGCTAAGTCCATCTTCTATACTGTAGCACAGTACACAGGTTAATGGCATGAGATAAAGGAGACCGAGGTTCAAACAGTATATTCTTTCCAGTACTGAAATGATTTGACCCACAAAATGTGTGTGTATGTACATATAATATGTGGACTACACACAGGTATAAAAATATATATGATATACACTTACTTATGGCTTTGTACACACAGAGATATCTATATAAAGCCTTAAGTAAACATGGCTAGTTTATAAATGTGTTCAGCATCACCATTTTCTTCCCCACTTCAAAGGTGGAAATAGTATATCTTTGAAAACTAAACTATGAACATCTGTATTCAAGAGAAAATTCAGAATTACAGAGCCCATGTAGATGAAAATATACATTTCCAGTCACTTATTAATATGCTTAAATCCTGGGAAAGGGATGAATTTTACACAAACAAGTGTCTTCACTGTTCCCCGCTGACCGCCCAGGACAGTTCTTTGAACAGCTCCAGATTTTTGAGCCTTACTTCTGAGGCTAACACTTCTCCTTATCCCATCTGTATCATAATTTGGACACCTAACAAAGGAACCTGAATTCCAGCACTACATCTCTAGGAGAATCAGAACGATGCATAGGTTTTAATACTGCATAGTACTGATATCCATTTTACATTATGTAAGAAAGAACCCCCAACCCCTCCAAGCCCCAGAACTGGAAACATTGTAGCTCTTGTCTTTAATACCACCCATATCAGATTTAGTGTTGCTAGACTAAAGGTTTCAGTCTTAGACCACATTAGCTAAGTCCCTCATTCTACAGAAGATATGTTCTTATTTATCAGATATTAAGAATTAGAATACTACAGTGTATCTAACACAACATAACATAGCATGTATCTAAACAGGTAATGATCTCTCAAGTGTCATCAACGACAAGAATAGTAAGAGTTGCAGAATCAAACACAGAGAAAACAACATGTCACCATGTTGCCTAGAAAACCTGAATTGGTCCATACACACATTATGACAGTTTTAAAGTAACCTGAATTTGCATTCTCAAACAAATACATGTTATGACACACCTTTAAAGTATAAGATCATTTACTACTTTCCACATGACCCCTGTTTTATTCAGACTGGTCTCACTGAAACAATTATGATCCAAATAAGTTTTTACCATAATCCTAAATTGAGACCTCTCATATTACTCCATATACACCACCAAGACAGTGACCTGACAGTAGAATGTTAATTTTCTTGCAGTTTAATGATGTTCTAAGAAATCAGTTTATTACAAACATTACAGTTTCATGTGTAAAAGATCCTTGTGAGGAAAGGTCTAAGATCATTGCTTTCATTGACCTCAGCTGCAAACTCAAGTTCTGCAATTTAGATCATATATGTCTTGATGAGGAACCCAGAAAGCAAAGAATCCTTACCAGCTCTCTGTAGGTATTTTAGTTCATGTGACTAGTACCACGCAGTAACCTTCTAACAGAGAGGAGAACAGGGTCTGATTGTGGCAACATTTGTTGCCTTAGCCACCTGACCAGGAGACAGTATCTGTCTCTGACTTTTTTAAAAAGTGAAACAGAAGGTTTGCAGAGGCCTGGTCTGCTCACAGTCCTGTTATTTCCCTTCAGGCATCCCGTCACCCTGTTCAACAAATCAACCAAATATTCCATGTAAAAAACCAAACCAAACCAAAACAAAAGTATCTTGCAATCACGCACAAGACAAATAAAAGCTTCAGAGTCAAACTTATATAATACATATCTCTATCAACAGCAGTGTTAGTTTACTGTAGATTTAAACATAAACTCCCTTTTAAGAAAAATAAATTTGGAAATTACATCTTATGTAGATCATGGCAAAACTGGATTTTTGGATTCACAAAGGTATCTTTATCTTATGCTTTGCTGGATAAAAAACTGTCTGGATGGCCAGGCCCAAAGAGTTGTGGTGAACAGAGTTAAATCCAGTTGGCGGCCAGTCACGAGTGGTGTCACCCAGGGCTGGGTTTTGGGGCCACTCCTGTTTAACATCTTTATTGATGATCTAGACGAGGGGATAGAGTGCACCCTCAGTCAGTTTGCAGATGACCCCAAGTTGGGTGGGAGTGTTGATCTGCTCGAGGGTAGGGAGGCTCTGCAGAGAGACCTGGACAGGCTGGAGCCATGGGCTGAGGCCAACTGCAGGAGTTTCCATAAGGCCAAATGCCGGGGGCTGCCCTTGGGCCACAACAACCCCCAGCAGCGCTACAGGCTTAGGGAGGAGTGGCTGGAGAGCTGCCAGTCAGAGAGGGACCTGGGGGTGTTGACTGATAGCCGCCTGAACAGGAGCCAGCAGTGTGCCCAGGTGGTCAAGAAGGCCAATGGCATCCTGGCTTGTGTCAGCAATAGCGTGGCCAGCAGGGACAGGGAAGGGATCTGACCCCTGTACTCGGCACTGCTGAGGCTGCACCTCGATTCCTGTGTTCAGTTTTGGGCCCCTCACTACAAAAAGGACATTGAATGACTCGAGCGTGTCCAGAGAAGGGCAACGAAGCTGGTGCAGGGTCTGGAGCACAGGTCGTATGGGGAGCGGCTGAGGGAACTGGGGGTGTTCAGTCTGGAGAAGAGGAGGCTGAGGGGAGACCTCATTGCCCTTTACAGTTCCCTGAAAGGAGGGTGCAGAGAGCTATGGATGAGTCTCTTTAACCAAGTATATAACTGATAGGACAAGAAGGAATGGCCTCAAGTTGTGCCAGGGGAAGTTTAGACTAGGTGTCAGGAAGCATTTCTTTGCAGAAGGGATTGTTAGGTGTTGGAATGGGCTGCCCAGGGAGGTGATGGAGTCCCCATCCCTGGAGGTGTTTAAGAGTTGGGTTGACATAGCGCTGAGGGATATGGTGTAATTGGGAACTGTCAGTGTTAGGTTAATGGTTGGACTAGGTGATCTTCAAGGTTTTTTCCAACCTAGATGATTCTGTGATTCCATAAAAGTAGTGGCGCTAACACATTCATCCTGACTTCAAGTTGCAAGGGTATGTCTCAATGATAGTCCTTGAAAAAGAAGCCCACACATAGTGGCAAAAGATGTATTCACTATGTGTCAAGTTCTCAAGGGCAGAAAATATATCTTAAGCAAGTGTTTACCCAAAGTATTGGTTAGAAGCACATACCAGCCATGAATATATTCAAACATGAGCAGATTAAGTCAATGAAAATTAGAAGGAACTCAACGCTGCAATGGAGGAGTGGGCAATCTGAAGAGCCGGCCCCCAACCATTCCAGGACAGCTGTGATCCATTCCTAAGGGCACAGGTGGCGTTTTTCACTAAACTTGCTACTTATTCAGATGTAGAAAAGCCTGATCCAAGCTGGAGCTTGACAGTGGCCCATGAATGTGTCTAATGCTAGACTTGTACAGAAAGGTCCAACGGGTGTTTGCTAAACAACGTGAGGATGCTGGGGCTCAGAGGTCACCCCTCACCCTGCTCTCCTCTCCCTGGCCGCCGTTCCCTGCTCTCCAGCGGCGCATGACAAGGCCCGGGAAAGACGGCGGAGGCCCACGGTAGCCCTGTCGCTTCCCGCTCCAGCCGCCTCAGTTCCCACGGCGAAGGCCGCCACACGCCGCTACGCT